AGACTTTCCCCATAGCTGAGAATAACCAGTACTTGAGGGTGTGGCCATCCTCTCTGTTTTCAGGGGTTGCCAGGCACTTGTAACACGCCACCTCTGCCACAGCTCCCAGTCCTCTTTGGCAGCAGGGGACTGAGACCTGAATTTGAATTAAGTTATCTACTTTGCAGTTGCCTCTTTTCTTTTTATATGTAAGGTTTTCAGATTTTAGATACATTTTATTTCCCTATAAAATCAAAGCTACTGAAAAAAATGGAACAGGCTAACAGCTTATTTAAGTTTCAGAGGTATTCAATTAATCTCTAAAATAATTTTGTTCATGCCACAAGACGTTTTCAGGTTCCAAAGAGTATAAGAAAACTTTTAATGCTTTCTTTATTTGAATTTGCTAAAGATCATTTGGGGAGCCCTTTCTAGGGTTTGGAATTATCCAGTCAAAGTCATTGAAAGCATCTTTAGAAAAATTAAAAGCTCAGACTCCTTCAGATGTGATCTTTGCTGTTCTGCCATCAACCTGACATTTGGAAGAGTTAGGGAGCCTGTAGGCTCCACAGCAGCAAAGACTGTGCAACAGTCCCTCTGACGGGAAGCAAGCATTTCAGGAATTTATACTGTGATCTGCAGAACTGCAAAATCCAGAACTTTTCCATTGTTTCTGTTGGAAGCAAAGCCTAGAGTCCTGTTTTAATACCATGAGCAAGTTAAAACTGGAGAGGTTTTATTTGTATAATTTACCTACAGGATTACAGACAGCTCTTGGTAAGTTTAACTGCAGAAGATTTGAAATTATGCCAGAGGAACTTAACAGAATTTTTTTCTGTCAGGTAAATTTCAAAGTTAGTTTGAGTGAAAAAGAAATCTGTAGAAAACATATAGCCTGTAAATTTCATAACAATGAATGGTCGCAGCATCTTATTACTTCAAACACCATGAACCACCGATGGGGCTTGGCCCCAGGTGGCTTGTTTTCCCACTGATCTCACTTTGGCCAGTTGTAACAGCTGCTGCTTTATCTGGTAACAACACCTCCTGTGTGTAACACTTTTGCCCTTTCTAGTTGCAGTTTCTGCGGTACTGGTCACTGTCAGGCCGTCAGTCCTGCTGTCTAGGTTTCCTGTTTCTTCAGTTCTCCTGTCAGTGACCTTTGATGACTTCCAGGGCATCCAGGTCATTATCATGTTTTTTTTTTTTTTTTTTTTTAAGTGCATACGTTAAGGATATTGAAATGGACTGTTAATTCCTTGTGGGAAACTTAGGTTTATATATCCATTTCCAGCTTCTCTCCTCCTCTTTATCATTACTCTAACTGCAGAATGTAAAACCACTACCAAGTATAAAACAGTGCTGAGGTTTAACTCCATCTGCCCTTTACCATCTCACACATAATGCCATTTGACCATTTTTTAAGATGATAACTTTTTTGTTGTCCATCGATTCCCCTTCCTTACTAACGTGATCTATTAGAGATTTTATTTATTTTTTTCTGTTTATCTTATAAAGCAGTCATTTAACATGCACTTTATGCTCTTCTCCCAGTTAAGCCTTTTTATCTTGCTTTTGGAACTCTAACTTATCTCTAAACCAGATGTCCGGAGTGCTGATACCAGTGCCACAGCTGGCCTACTCTCATGAAAAAGACACTTTTGCCTTTAACAAATTTAAAAAGATGTGTAATGAATTTGTATATGTATAATAAATTTCTCAAACTTGCCTGAAATTCAGACAACATTGTTGCTTCTTTTTTTGAAGGGTGAAATTAGAACCTAGAAAATGTCACTGATAGGGCTAGTGATTTGCTACTGATTAGGCAATTTATGTAATGAAATAAAGCTCAGAGACGTGTGTTTGTGAAGTTTGGGAAGCCAGCTAGCATGGTCTTCCAGGCTCCTCCTGCTCCAAAGTCTTCTGGTTCTTCTCTCCCTTGCCTTTGAGTATAGTCAGTTCATCTCATTATTCCATGTCTCTTCTGTTCTCTACGGTTCTGTGCCCTCAGCTTAGCTGTATAATTTTTGTTAAAGCCTTTCTTCAACTTAGCGTGAAAGTATGGTCCAGTCTTCAGATTCTTAGGCAGGGCTCTCTCATTTAGGGGCAGGGAGAAGAGGAAGATTCTGCAAAAAGAAGAGATTCTAGATGGTGGTGTCATAAGGCTGGGAAGAGGAATTCTAAGAATGAAAGATCCATCACACTATCCAATGTGAAGGTGAAACTTGGGGCAAATAAAGCCTGAAGAAACATTGTGTTTTGTAATTATGAGATCAGGGTAACCATGGGAAACAGTTCCATTAGGAGAGGAGCTAGAGGCAGCAGGCGCAGCCTGTCCTTTGGGGAGTCAGTGTTGATCCTGCTCAGTTCAGGGTGGCCAGGTCCTTGATGACCTTCATCATGTGACTGTGGAACTCTCACAAGTGGTGTCTCAACTGATTGGAATCAACTGTGTATCTGAGTGAGATGGTGAGCTCCCCAAACAAAGATGGGATAGACCTGGCTTCTGTGCACTGATATTTAATTCTGATTTTATACTTCAGAGTTGGATAGCTCCCCAGTGAGGAGGCAGCACATGTAGAGTTACATATAGTTCTAAATTTAATTTATTTAAATCACCAAAGGGAGGAGACTTCACAGTTGTGGTGAATTTTATAATGTCACTTTGAGCAAGCCTTGTAGAATTCTGCATCCTCTCTGCCACCTGAACTTTTTTTTTTTTTTTAAAGATGACCAGTAAGGGGATCTTAACCCTTGACTTGGTATTGTCAGCACCACGCTCTCCCAAGTGAGCTAACCTGCCATCCCTATGTGGGATCTGAACCCGTGGCTTTGGTGTTATCTGCACCACACTCTCTACTCTCCCAAGTGAGCCACAGGCGGGCCCAGCCTGAACTTTTTTTTTTTTTTTTTTTTTTTTTTTTTTTTTTT